TGACGTGGAAAAGAAGACACACACTGCTGTTTTTCGGCCGCTCCTGTGTAATTACGTTGGTGTATCGACTCGACCGTTACGGAGAGAAGAAGATGACAAAACTGATAGAGTGAGATACTGATGACCACCAGACCAGACCAGACCAGACCAGACCAGACCAGACCAGACCAGACCAGACCAGACCAGACACGGTCAGACCAGACCCGGTGGGCCGCGCCCTGTTGCAGTATCGACCGAGCACTCTGCCATTCTCGTGCCTACAGCACTGAGAGCTCTGTCATGCTGACATTAATGCACGGTTCACATGCCAGCTGGGAGGCCCATCTAATCTGCCAGGAGAGGGCGTGGTCACCACCCTCCCCCACCCTCAGCCCCTTCCCCTCAGTGGGCTAGGGGGCGCACCGGATGGGGTGGCTCCAACAGTCACATAGCTCGGGGATAATTAACCCCACCCCATCAACCAGTGAATGATAGATCCGGCTGCCAGGGCCGGGCATACTCGATGATTGGAAATACCTGCTCTAATCCATATGCCCATCCCCCCCTATTAATGCCTTTTGGTTTAATTTGTTGCAGGCTTATTCAGGCATCCTCGAAAGCACTGTTATTGAATGTGTTATAGTGTGCGAGAGCGCAATTCTTTGGGTGTAAAGCAGTCATCTGGGCACGGATGTCCTCTGACTTCCGAAAGAAACATATGTACCGGCTGACCATGTCTGTTGTATTGTCTGCTGCTGAAGCTCCACTGATTGCCGTATTATTACGCCATTCTGGGTGGTGCGACGCTGACCACCAATTGCTCCAATTTCTGACTGATGGTCCTCGGACACACGCCCCAACAATGGCCGTGTTCGGACAACGGTGTCTGAGCTGCTGCTGTTCAAATTGCTTCGAACTGGCCACTCCAAAGTCACCAGACTGTAGGTAACTGTTTGTGGCAGCCCTGGGAGCCAAGAGGAGTGCCCTGGGGCGATCCATGGTCGGTTGATTGGTGTGCGCCTGATGCATGCAGTGGTCGAACGTTGACCACAGCGCGGACGATAGAGTGCGTGGGTGCAGTGATCGAACCGTTCGAGATCCGCTGACGACTCGGCTTCAGGGAATGCTAGGTGGACTGGTTAAATTGATGTGGAAGTATTGTGCCTTGCTGGTTGCTGGGAATGACTCCGGGCACTGATAGGTATCCAGCAGAATGCGGTAGACATCGGCCATTTATTGTAATTGAATTACCTTATCAGAGCAGGCATGCGATTATTCTATTCACTCAAACAGACCAGTCTTGCTTATCTTCTCCGAGAAGTCTCTCAGCTCCTCTCAAGACGTTGCGGCTGTTATAATTCTCCACCTAATGTGCCGGTAGTGGGTGTGGACTTGGATTCTCAGTAACGAGTACCCTCGGTAACTGAGTTGGCTTCAGTCTGAGATCAGTCAGCCGACCCAAGCAGCGCCACACCGCCAGATGGGCGTCACTTTCATCGCCATCGCCGCCGCCGCGCCGCTGCCGACTCGTCTCGAAAGTCTGCCGCCGGCGCGTCAGATGCGGCGTCTGCCTCTCTCCTTTTTCCCGAGCCGCGAGTCGCTGTCGGCCGGTGAGACAGCTGCAGAACGGAGTGACGTCATTGATGTTGATGACGGCATACATACTTATGACGTCAGACAGTCTTTGCTGATCTGAAGAAAGGGGTCGATCTGCCTTTGGCAGGGCAAGATCATATAGTCTGGCGCTTCCAGACTGGGTGCAGAAGTGTTTCCCTCTCCGTTAGTACCGCACCACGGTCGATTTTCGACAGAACCGTGACAGGAACACAGTGTAGTCGAGCCGCCACACCCACACACATCACCGGTGTAACGGCGCCCACGGTGGATCGGCGGCGATTCCGGCGCACTGAGACAATGGCTGCGCACTGAGACACAGCTCCGGGGTGGCGAATCGCGATCATGGCTACCGTTATCTGCTCTGATCTACTGAGACGGGTATGTCTATGTTCTCCCATAGAGCTCAAGGCACGCACTGCCTCATAACTTTTAACCAGCAATCATCACTCCCCGCGTCTTTTGCTCCTTATCGGAAGATCTTGAACGCCACGGTCCACCCCGCACTGGATCGCCCTGCTCCCATTTCGGAGAACAATGGCGGTGATTATCGTTGGACGCTCGGCTAGCTGGCGGTCGGGGTGTCCGACCGGGTCACCTGACCTTTGACCCCCGCGGACCAGGGCGGCCGGCGGACGCGAGCCGCCCCCGGGCAGCGCGGCGCACCGCCCGGGCTTTATTCCACCGAGTCACGGATAAAACTGATCAGTTTAGCTGGTGATGAGAGCGAGACAGCTCGACAAGGAGAAATTGATAGTAACTTTGTTGGGATATTGTGGTATTTTTTTTAATAAAGACAAAGTTTCTTCATGATCTGCTAAAAGCTCCTGAATCAGTGCCTAACTAATTCATATATTAACAGCTAAACCTAAATTGAATGGCTGCGCAGCATTCCTCGCCATCGTTCAACGAGAGAATGAATGCTGTTTGGGTTAAAACGAAATGAGTTCTCGATTGGTAATATTACTAAGTGCTCGAGCGAGGAACATATTGAATATAATTAGATAAATAAAAGAAGTTGACCTTTTCCTCGACATCAAAAATGTAAAAAGCCGAATAATATATTTTAAAAAACGGTGAGCTTTCGGCCACTGGCCTTTATCAAACCAACGTGATAACAATGTTAAAAGACGATCCTGTGAATAATCTGTCTGCCATTTTTCAAAAACCGAAGATCGTGATATTTTAGGAAAGGCGCTACTCATAAGGGCAAACTATTTGATAGACCGATTGTCTACATAGTGTCCGATGTACGTAACATACATAATATACAATTGTACACGTAGCTGTCAAACACACATCGTATGGAAGGTATGTACACTAACACCGATGTACATCACACACATAACAAAATAATATACACATACACATATTAATCGATTGAGTTGAAAAGGCTACACGCTCACAAGATACACATGATACAGGCGCTTACATGATTGGCCACGACGAAAGATTTGAGTTTATGTGCGGGCGGTTTGCTTTTATAAGTAGGGATTCTGCGATTTTTCTGTCCGGGTGGTCTTTGGAGCGATAAAGGACGCGAACCTGAAGAGGAAGGGATGATTTGTTTAGCGGCGCGCCGGGGTGGTGCTCACGGAAGTGGTCTCCCATCGGGGTCCCTTCGGATGCGCTCAAGGCGTCTCGTAAATGTTCGTTAAATCTTAGTCGAACAGGTCGTTTTGTCTCGCCAATATATGTGCCGTCGTCACCCTTTCCTTCACACAACTTACAATTTAGCCTGTAGACGACGTTCTTCTGTGTACAATCACCTGAAAAATCTGATTTACACATGTTGCATCGTGGGCCTCCAGGGCAGATAGGTTTAGATAGTGATGATCTAACCAGTTTGTTTCGTAGCTTTTGGGGGTTCCTCCATGCTATCCTGACAGCTAAGCCAGATTTCCTAACTTTACTTTGAATTTTGCATAGCAGTTCTTCATCTATGTACGGTAAACATAAGAAGCCATCTTCGCCCTTGTCTCGACTAACTTTACCCATCCTGGATCTGGACCCTTGCTGTTTGACCTCCCACAAGAGCCTTCTAAGAACTTTCTCTGGGTACCCATTTTGAACCAACACTGTCCAAATCTTGTCTATACTCGCCCTCTCTTTAGCACTGCTCGAAGAGTTCCTGATCGCTCGCCGAAACTGACTACGGACTATGTTTTGTTTAGTAGACTTCGGGTGGGCTGATTTATAGTGCAGGATGATCCCTGAGTTCGTAGGTTTTATGTAAAGTTCCGTTTCAATCTTCGTAACCTGGCCCTGGGTCACTACTGTCACTAAGGTATCTAGGAAGGCCACACCCGACTTTGTAGGGGAGAGTGGGGCAAAGCGGCCACCCTAACGCTTCTCACGGTGCCAACGCTTGATTTTTAAACTTGGAAAGATTCTTTCTATACCAATGTGATCCCTATTAAGTTGCCTTTCATTTCAAATGCGTTTTATTTCCAAAGGCGTTCACATATGGAAGATATTGACAAAACTTTAAACCTATGCATATTGGCCACTTTGCCCCATACCCTGGGGCAAAGCGGCCACCGGCGTCTTCTCAAGTCCCGATATGAGAAACAAAATAGTTGCCTCATGTACGACTAGGGTATTTGATGGTGACAAGGTTTAAGCAAGGATGGATGTTTGCTTTGTTAGCATCCCACCTGTAGGTAAACAAAGAAAGGATTTTCATGAAAAAACATTTAATGGCATTATTTGGTAACTCATGCAACTGAAAAGTGGCCAAGATGAATGCATGACGACACATTTGAATATAAATAATTTTTTTACCCAGATGGAAACAACTTATGGCCAATTGGGGGGTGGCCACTTTGCCCCGGCCACTTTGCCCCGCGCATACCGTCCGAGACAAAAATATTCCAGCTTAGCTATTAGTGGGGTAAAAAACATTAAAATTGGTAGAATACATGTACGATAACAATGCAACGCATGGACAAGAACGCTTATAAAAATTCCAAATGGTTATGAAATAGCATAACATTTAAAAATTGTAAACATAGTTGGTAACCTGGCAAGAAATGCTTTTCCGTGTTTCACAGAACAATGGTGATGGGCCTGAAAGCCCGGTCTGGCTCATTCGAACGACCGTGAAGAGAAGTATAATTGGAAACCATAAATTGAAACTGACGCCAGCTATGAAGTGCTAAAACGATGGGTGGCCGCTTTGCCCCGGGTGGCCGCTTTGCCCCACTCTCCCCTACCGGAATGCTCCATGGTAAAGCGGAGTGTCGGATGAAGCGAGTTTAAATGCGACAGAAAATCTACCAAAGCCTGCTCTCCATAGGTCCACACGCCTGCGTAATCGTCAATGTACCGAACCAAAAAGGACGGTTTCTGATCCATTTCGCAGGCGTGTGGACCTATGGAGAGCAGGCTTTGGTAGATTTTCTGTCGCATTTAAACTCGCTTCATCCGACACTCCGCTTTACCATGGAGCATTCCGGTACAAAGTCGGGTGTGGCCTTCCTAGATACCTTAGTGACAGTAGTGACCCAGGGCCAGGTTACGAAGATTGAAACGGAACTTTACATAAAACCTACGAACTCAGGGATCATCCTGCACTATAAATCAGCCCACCCGAAGTCTACTAAACAAAACATAGTCCGTAGTCAGTTTCGGCGAGCGATCAGGAACTCTTCGAGCAGTGCTAAAGAGAGGGCGAGTATAGACAAGATTTGGACATTGTTGGTTCAAAATGGGTACCCAGAGAAAGTTCTTAGAAGGCTCTTGTGGGAGGTCAAACAGCAAGGGTCCAGATCCAGGATGGGTAAAGTTAGTCGAGACAAGGGCGAAGATGGCTTCTTATGTTTACCGTACATAGATGAAGAACTGCTATGCAAAATTCAAAGTAAAGTTAGGAAATCTGGCTTAGCTGTCAGGATAGCATGGAGGAACCCCCAAAAGCTACGAAACAAACTGGTTAGATCATCACTATCTAAACCTATCTGCCCTGGAGGCCCACGATGCAACATGTGTAAATCAGATTTTTCAGGTGATTGTACACAGAAGAACGTCGTCTACAGGCTAAATTGTAAGTTGTGTGAAGGAAAGGGTGACGACGGCACATATATTGGCGAGACAAAACGACCTGTTCGACTAAGATTTAACGAACATTTACGAGACGCCTTGAGCGCATCCGAAGGGACCCCGATGGGAGACCACTTCCGTGAGCACCACCCCGGCGCGCCGCTAAACAAATCATCCCTTCCTCTTCAGGTTCGCGTCCTTTATCGCTCCAAAGACCACCCGGACAGAAAAATCGCAGAATCCCTACTTATAAAAGCAAACCGCCCGCACATAAACTCAAATCTTTCGTCGTGGCCAATCATGTAAGCGCCTGTATCATGTGTATCTTGTGAGCGTGTAGCCTTTTCAACTCAATCGATTAATATGTGTATGTGTATATTATTTTGTTATGTGTGTGATGTACATCGGCGTTAGTGTACATTGTAGCAAGGGAATGAAGGGGAGGAAAAGTACAGAAATAAAAAAAGCTGCATCTTGAGGTTCATCAAACAGCGCGGTCCACTGCTGTTCGGCGGTGTAGCAGAAAAGAGATTCGCTGCTGGAAGGAACTCGATAGTAGAGCTGGTAGAACAGGGGAGCTTGAGAGTCGTTGAAGAGATCCCGAGATAGATCTAGTGAGAGATCCAGATAGTGATGAGATCCTGAGATAGATGAGATCCACCGGATAGAGATGTAAGTATCCACCTTGCGTACAAATACATCTGATGGAAGATGCTTTTTAAATTGGAGGCTTGATGATTCTGTTCATTGTATAGACCATGATGCACGAGATGCTTCTTCACTGCTCGGATTAGGGATAGAGGGATCCGATCAGCTGGGTTTGCAGCACAGTTGGGCAGGTGAAGGACAGGGCATTCGAAGTCCCGATGACCACTGCCAAACATATGGGTGGTAATTACATTGATTAATTGAATGTGATCATTCGTCCAGTCACCCATTCCTATATCACTGGCCTCCCCATTACAAAAATTGCCCGCTTAGTTCGTATTAGCGTTGCTAGTTTAGTTGCCCTCGAGAATCATTTGTTCGACTGCCATAACCGAATTCTACCAAATTCCTATCGGCCTTACTCTAAGATTCATGCGTCATCATTCTCACATCCTTGCTCGCATTACGTTCACATTTCATGTATTCACCCAAATTTAATTGGTAGCCCCCGAAATTCCCTCCGATAGTGTTAGGCGTCTTACAAACCATGGTCTCCCCGGCGAGATAAATGTCTCTTTCCGAAATCCATATGCATGCTCCGCTAACCGGCGACAAAGATACTTATCGCAGGGCCGTCCAGAATAATTATACACAAATATCCACCCTACTAATTTATGGGATTCACTACACGTCCGATAGACTTATGGTACACACATACACGATTTATATCCGACTTATCTCTCTACCGGGAGAGATTACCTATGCCCTCTTCCGGTCCGCGTGTAACATTCCCGTTCACGACCCAGGGACCACCGTTCATATCCTGGAACTCTCCTCAGGAACTCTCCTTAAACCATGGGATTTACTCTTCAAGGCCTTACGTGTCCTGGAGTACATTCTTCCCTCCCCTGAGGCTGTCCAGTACCGATTAAGGTACCTTTACAAAATAAGTATGAGGACTTATTCGGGACACTACGGCGCGCCTTATCCGCACTTTTGGGTGACTCACCCCTGACCCTCGGCTTCTTGCCTTTGGCATAACTTACTCTCCACTGCACACTGTGCCAATCTTCCCCTTCCCCCTGCCGTAGAAACCTCTCACTGCCTTCTCACCCAGTGTTACCTAAGCGGGAAAATTAACAGTGGCCGGTACCACTGGCGGAAAACGTGCATATGCCCTGCGTACGTGACGGCGTGTCCCTCTTATTATTCCGGTCTGGACGTGGGTTTAGAGAAGTGCATCTGTGTCTCATACGGTCATGCTGGTAAACGCTACGCCATAGGAGACGGGCAAACAAGCCGTCTGTGCCTCACAATGCCCTGTGCCAATATTGGTGGAGTAATTATTGGCGCTAACTCTCAAGAACGCGAATAACAGAAACGCATCTAATCGTAATCTCAAGTCCTAATTGCTGCTGCACGCGTGAACCTAATCATCAGTTCTCGTAAACAATCCTAGCAGACCTTGAACCGCTCTTGATTTCATCAGATAATCTAGAACCAATTAGTACGCACCGATCTGTCGTCTGGTTGTGATCCACCGTATCATAGTGAATTGCTGAATGCTCAAACGGAAATGACTCCTTGAAACTCGTTCGATAGCTTCTGATGGGCTACTAGTTACCTAAACAAATTATCTTTATAGAGTGCCAGAATATTGTCATAGGGTCCCTAGCCTTTCATAGGGAATCTATTTTAAATCATCCTATTAGCAGTAAACAATGCGCATCAAACGAAGTGCAGTCCTAAATATCAAATAGCATGTCATATTTAAAATTATGCATTAACTGTTTACGTTCTTACCCCGTTGCAACTTTCCACAACTAACCATGCTCCTATATACAATGACCTTCACCTACCGCCCGCGCCCCAATTACGGCTAACCCACTGCCCCTGTTGTGGCTGCTTTTTACGCCCTCTGGCGGCTCAACGCCCGCGTCGAGAGCGACGATACTGGCCGCCGGCTGGCGTCGCGTCGACAGTCAGTCAAGGCCACGCCGCGATGGGCGCGTCATCACTCGCGGTGCAATGCTCGTGCGTGTTGTCTCTTCTGGCCGGGTGGATTCACCGGATGTGTCAGTGAGTGTGAATCTGGTAAAATATCGCTGCAATATCTCCCTGTTCGACATCTCATCAGCTCCATTCAACGTAAGTTTTTTTTAAATTAAATTCCTGTCCCATTTAATCGTTCCCCAACAAAGGTGGTCCTTTCTAGTATTTATTCTACAAAAGCACAACGATCGGCACCTATATTAGTCGCATATTAGTTCTAACCACAAACAATTCTACATCTACCTGTTACTCGACATTTCGCAATTTCAATGACGCAAAGTGACCATCTAAAGTCGCTAAGTGTCAAACCGTCAACCTCAAACCACTGCTCGCAACTCTGCACCTAAGTAACAGAAGAAATTCCGCCGTAAGCTCAAGCATTCGTATCTGTCGGAAATCATAACTCATAGCCATATTCATAGATCGATCGCATGAATCAGTCGCCACCTTAAAACATTACATTCCCTTTCAACCGTATTTACCTGTTCTATAATTGATTTCGACTTCGCAATTAATTCCTACAGCAATATTACCAATGATTTCGCAATGCAACTTTTAGTGAGTACAGCACGAATCTAAACCCTTAATTTCACAAACGTTCCAACCTCAAAACGCACCTGGCCATCGCCCATAATAAATCGAACGAACCAGCTTGACCGAAGACAAAGACATTTCAACGCTGTCACACATCCAGTCATCAATCTCAACGTTCGTGACCATGAGCTGCTTATTCAAATTTTAGCCTCTCGCTCTGGGCCTAATCGTGAACTCCAACTGACAATAACGGTTTGCTGGCGACTCTGACATGACTTCGAAATTCAGATCCTAATATGCTACTAGGGTGTCTGGACCAATAAGCTCAAAGTAATTTAAGTTTTCCAATTCCAATTGAGAGTGCATTTTATGGCAACCGAAAATGTTTGGCAGTCGTCACGGCACGGCAACCGGGCAGAGGGGGGGGGGTCAAGGATTGGGATTGAGCAGACTTTTCAACAACACTCACATTCTGGAGTTTCTCTGCGCTTCCGCTTCTCAGTGTGGTCACAAGCGTCGGCTACTGTCCTCGGTTCTGATCACTCGAACTGAAGAGGCTTCTCGCGGGTGACCCCGGACTGACGGCGGCCTCCAGATGGCGTCTCCGGCTCCGGCTGCAGACTGTGACTCTCGGCTGCTCGACTGTGATTCTGCCTCTGGTTGGGTGGCGCACCCTTTTATAGTTGGGGGGAGGGGTGACTGCCACGCCCTTGCGACGTCATCTTCCTCTGCCTTCTTCTGGTGGGTGGGGCCGTAAGATGGCGCCCTCTGTCCTGTTTAGTCACCTTGCTCCTCTGTGCCTGCAATTTTTGGCCGTCGAATCGTCTTCGTGTTGAGTGCTTTATCATTTTAATAATCGCTGGCATAAAACAATCCCCGAAAGGTTTGTGATTTTCGAGTTTTAATTTTAATTCTTCAATTTCATTTTATTCAAACTTTTGTTTCCTTCCGTTTCGTCTGCCGGCAACGCCCCTTGTGACGTCACTCTTGCTCCGCCCACCGTCTCGGGCGTGCCGTAAGTCAGCGCCTTCTTCCTCTGCGGAGATCTCTGGAACTACCTCATGAGGCCATTGTGAGGTCGGTCACCCGGTTGTTTTGCCAGGTTCACTCACCCTGGGTTGCTGTGCCCGACAAAGGAGGCTGTGTGCTCCAGCCGGCATCCATCCTTGACACTGCTCCATGATCTGTTGACATCTTTTGCTGATGCAGCGTTATTTGAGGAGGTTCGAATCGCTCATCCTGCGGTAGCTGTCTCCATAGGCGGGCGTCGTAATGAGAGTTTAACGGTTGCCCATTGCGAAGACCTCTGGAACTACTGCGTTTTTGCTTGCCATAGGATCTTCCTGGTTGTGCCATTCCCACCATGTGACTCAGCGCGGTGCAGCTGTTGTGGTACCTGACAGAGTACGTGACAAGTGACAGAGTACCTTAACGTGCTCGCTCGCCGCCGCCGCCGGCCGCGGTCCTGACGTAGCTTGTTGACTCAGCTGTGCCTCGACGGTTCGTACTGATGTAGGCGGCATCGTCTTCTCGCAGATGTGTCTACTGCGGCTATTCCCACGGACAGTGCTCGTTGCGGGAGATGGAGAAAAGTGATGTGTGGGGGATGGTGGGCCTGGTGACTGGGGGGGGGTGAATAATGAGAGGGGAGGGGAGCGCAGCAGCAGCGCTCCGCTCAGCTGTGCGTCACCCGGTAGCAGCGATGGGTGAGTGAATGGAGGGCTAGGCCTGTGACCGGACTGCGAGGGGGGGGGGGAACTGCCGTACCGAGCCGTGCCGAAAAGATACTACGTTAAATGTTCAAGATGTAGCGTGCTACATCTTCAGTCCAAACAACCCTAGTTGCGTCCTCGCAACTCATACAAAAAAGTCACACCCCTTACTCATCTAAATTTACACAATCATGTGAACTTCCGCAACGCCCACAGCATGACATCGTATACCTAGTACAGTACACACACGCACCTGTTGTTCCTCGTCCCCACCTCAGTTTGTCGTTCACCAGATCCGGGTCACGGGCACCAACCACTTTGGTTAGCCCGATGTCGTCGGTTGTCGTCCGGTAAGCGGCTTCTTAGGAGGGTGAAGACCTCTGCGGCAGCCCAGGTGGGCGGCCTCCACAGCAGTTCGGGTGGCAGCCTCCATGGCAGCCTCATGGCGGCCCGGGTGGCGGCCTCCATGGCAG